GGAGCCGCAGTCGACACATTTAGCATGTTTAGCTAACAAAAAAAGTAACATATGCATTCTATTATGCCTTAAATTCTCGCTACCAACAGAAGCTTTAACCCGTCTTTTATCACAGAAAAGCACTTCATGTCTTCTGCTCTTAAAATTCAAATTTGAAAAAGAAAAGAAGCCTTTTTTTGTCCCATTTTGTAATTTTTTGGTTCAATTCTTACTTCACTGTGACATGTTTTCAACCTGTGTTTTGAATGGCCTTTTGTGAAAGTACATCTGACATGCTGAGCTAAAAACATGCTTAATTATTAACTCCCGATAACCTTTTAAATCCAATAGAACCATTAGACCTGCAAAAGTAAACACTGTCACACTGCTCACAGCCAGACACACTTGTGTTTGTGCGTGACAGGGTCCGTGTTGTATCACCTGGTCTATTTGGACTAACACAATATTGATGCAGAATTACACTGCATGTGATGTTTTTTTGTTTAAGAAAAGGTAAACATGTTATGAGAAATGGGATTCAGAAGACAGGGGCAGCAACACAGGACAATGAAAAGTAATGGATTTTGTTGTCTTTTGTGGTGGTTTTTATAAAATTTGCTGATTTTACATGAATTACATCACAAACTCACAGCCAACACTGACAGGTTTAGGAAAAATAAAGATGTGACTTAATATTCACCAGAACGGCTGCAGGCACAACAACTTTGAACATGTTTATGTTTTGAAGAAAAATCTTTCTCTTTCGGAAAGAGACTTAGTCTCTCTCTCAAAAACATGCTTCAAAAATGCAAGATATTTGATCAACTTGTTATAAAGTGACTTTTTAATGATCTTAAAAACAAGGCCAGAGATAAAAATAATATTTATATCTTTCGCCCACAAATCTAAGCTGAAATGTCCTGGGCGAGAGTTAAAACTTCTTGAACTACTTACATCCAGCTGTCCAGCTGCCCTCAATTCAACTCACTGTTGAATAACTATGACCTGGATGACCGGGGAATCTTTACAGAAATCACATGGGAGGTGAAACTACACAGACAAAATATGCAGATGTGTAAGAGCTCAGCTGGAAAGTACATACAGTAGAAACAGTGGCAGGAGCCAAAGAACACTTTAATGCACTTTATCAAGTTGACAACAAAGCTAAGTGTCTATGGTGAAAGTCCAACTACAATGGTTAAACAGGTGGTTTCTGCTAATCCTCCACGTGTGTGTGTGTGTGTGTGTGGCTATGAACGTCTGTGAACAACATTTAAATGCAAAGGAGAAGGATGTTTTAATGTGGTTCTATACACAACATCAATTTAAACCATGCATTCAGGGTCACACATCGATGTATTTTCACTAAATAAAAATAAAGCTGATCCTGTTCTCTTTCGTATGTGTTCACAGTCGGCCTCAAAAGAGCCAGAATAATACATACAATGGAAGAAAAGAACTTAAGTCTTTCTTTATTTCTTTCACTCAAACCTTCTCCACTCAGCATTCCAGTCAATCAACTGTAAACTAATAAGCTGAAAGAGCTTAAGCAGAGTAGTTTAATTATTGCTTAGTTCTCTTTTCTTGCCTTATTTTTCAGTTTGTGATCTACTCTAACCAGTGCCTCAGGTTTTCAAGTTTTTTTTCTTCTTTGTTGAAGCCACCTGGTTCTCATAAAACTGTTTGAGTAAACCCCTTAAACAAAATGCAAAAGCACAAACAGCAACAATTAAGAATCAGTCATTCCCTGGAACATTTCCAAACATTGGTTTCAGGTTCTTACACCAAAGCTCATGCTATGAGCATTCAGCAATATTGACACAAAGTTTTGTTGAACAGCTTTTCTTGGGACACATCTACATACAACACATTGTACACAGCAGCTCCATGGAGAGCACTGATCAATGATATAACAAGGATACAATAGTGTTTGAGTGGAAACACAGCTGCTGAGCAGGCTTCACAGAGTCATTCCAACTGTGTGTCAGCACTAACAATGACATTGTGTGAGTTACGTCCTAATTTGAGACGTCAGACAAGTGTGTGTTTGCACAGACAGGAAAATGAGTGAAAACATGTCAGCTTCTGTGCACAACTGGTCACTGAAGATAAGTGACTTTGTTTAAAGAACCTAAAGTCACCTTTTACAATATTTCTAGATACAGATGGGTGTACACACCATGTATCACCATCAGTGACCTGGGATCTTTTTCACAGGAGAAACTCACCGAGAGTCAGCTTAAAATGTCAATTTCGCTTTATGATGAGTGACAGCTTGAACGTCTTGCTCAACACAACAAGACCAATCATTCACATAAATCTGTCGATGCCAACTTTTGGCACATGAAGGCCGATCTACGTGAAGAGAACAGCATATAACTCTGTGTGGCAGAGGGGGCAGAGTGGAGGTGCCGACTTTATATCCATAGAGAACAGACCTCTAAATCACAAGGAGGAGTGGTATTTTATCAGAGTTACGACTCTTAACAAAAAAATATGTGCTCATTTGAACAGCATTGGGTGACGGGATTCACTTTTTCTCCGATTACAGACATACTGTAGGTGTTCAGTGACTGAGAACCCAACTCAGCACTGACTATGATTCGTTTATGCTGCTTATGTAAGCGAGTGTCAGTAAGTACAGGAAGAGCATTATTTTTCTTTAATAGACAAGAGACACAGGAAAGTCATCTGTCACAATTACGTCATTTGCATCATTTACAATTATCATTCAAAGGTCAGGACAAATGATAAAAAAACTGTTTCAACATTGCTGTTTTCCTGTGTTCTAAGAACTCAGTCACATATGCCTCACTTTGTGTCTATGACTCATAGACACCACCAGGTGCTCAGCATCTTCCCTGACGATGCTTTGCCAAGCCTGTAAAAGAGCCAACCTTAGCTCTTGTAAGTGTCAGGGCTTTGTTCCTGAGTTTTACTAGGATTTACAATAGGTAACTGGCGTAGCCACTGAAGAAAGACCCCATCATTCTCTTTGGGGAAAAAAAAGACGTGTCACCTTGGCGTGGTAGTTATTTTCCCTTGGCTAAATTGAGACTGTTGTGAGATGTATACATACATGCATAAATGTATGAATGGTGGTCTGCTACACTGATTGCATGGACAAAAGCAAATAGACAACCACTTACATTTTATAAGCTTACATAACCCCCAGTACAAGGCTGCAAGCTTTTAGATGTCATTAATCAAAGACTTTATGATTAAACGTTTCCATTATTTTCCAAGTCTGTGCTCCTGCTGTCAGATTAATGATACACAAACAGGGGACCCTTTACACCAAAGGAGAGGAAGAAAAAGAAGAAGTAGAAAGCGTCTCATGTTAGACCTTGTGTCTAACATGGCCGCAGCAGCCTCTGGGTAGGTATGATGAGCAAAAAGAAAATGACTTGTCTGTTAGTCTGATCCGACTACAGACAAAACCATTCTGTAACATCAAAGACATCAAGGGGAGACACACATACACACACACACACCTAGGTCTACATAATGTACCTGTGCTCATCTGCTTTGTAAATGAACAATAAAGAAAGTTGATATCTTCAGAGAGGACTACCCCGGGCACTCCTACAGGTCCATTACAGGCACAACACAACCGTTTTGTAGATACAGTAGATTCCGGCAGAGTGAACTGCACTGCTGTCAAATGGCCCCTCAGTAATTTACACAGTACCGCAGAGATCAAGTTTTCCTTCCCAAACACATTTTATAGGTTTCTGTAAGGAATGACGGTTGATCACATTTTTCGAGGCTCTGAGCAAATTGAAACCACGGCCACCACAAAAAACATACACATGACATCTTTAGTGTTTTGTTTGTTCCAGTGTTTCTTTTTTTTTAAATCCAAAGAAAGAAAATAGGCGCACAGAAAGATACCATGTTTATATTCATTTATGGTATAACTGGTATTTTTGATATTTTTAAGGTATGGTGTTTTGCTTACTTAATGCTATTTTAATCATGATCAATTCAGAAAACAATCATGATTAATCGTGATTAATCTGATCAAAATACTAGATTTAATACAAAACATACTGTTGTAGGCAATATAGGATCTTTAAAACTTAGAGTAACAAATACCAATAATGCAAATAGAATGTCCGTGGTACATCTATCCCATGGTCATGTTATCCGCCTTAATGACAGCTCATTGTCCTTGTTTGTCTCTGCTGCGGAGCTAAGCTCTAAAGTGAAATGCGAGCAGCAAACGAGCACATAAAAAAGAAAACAGTGCTATACGATAGCGTTTACCTAAGACACATTGTATGGAGGGGATGAGGAGAGAAAGTGATATAAGATGACGCAACGCTCTTCAGCTCAGTGAATCTGATTCCTTTACAGCAAACCTTCTGTGTCTTACAGGGGGGAGAGGAGAGAGGAGAGAGGAGGAGGGAGGGGATGACTCCCAGCGCTCTTTTATTTCGCTACAGCTGTAACCCCTCCAACCTTTTTTTTGTCTCTGCAGTGAGTGAGATGATGAATGTGTGTGTCTGTCTCAGTTCCTATTAATAGTATGCAACGGGGCTGGAGGTGTCACAGCTAAGGACAGATGAGATCTCTCACTGTCTCTCCCTCCAACATACACACAGGCACACGAACACACCACTGGAGCAGAACACTGGAGCAGAGTGTCCAGATGTAGCAGAGGTGGGTTGTAGACGGGGGCCCAGAAAGTGAAGGAAAAAGCTTTAGAGATTGGAGAGCAAAGCCAGCAACAGGGCTTCAAACGGCACACTCACGGATTTACTACCCATATGATAAAGCAAACAACCCACCGAGCTTCACAGCACGGCGGGCTCAGAGACTGGACTTGCACATCAAGGCTACATCTAGACAAACACACTAACACGTAGGTGCCTGGACTCACAGGTCGTAAACCAGTGAGCTCACAGGTTTAACCCCGCCGGCACGTTGCGACAATAGTGGCCCCTCAGGACTGAAACTTGATTTTTCAGTGTGGATAGTCAAACTCTGGACTCAGACATCTGGATAAACGTTCTTACCTCGTGAGTTGGTGGCCAGGTCAGCCACTTTCTGAAACGCGTCCAGGAAGGCGGCCACAGCAACTGCCGTCGCTCTGGAAGACAATAGGACAGAAATTCTACTCAGATTTTTTTTTTTTTTTTTGAAAAGCCTATATATAATGTGGCCAACAAGATGGAATAAATGCATTCTGGAGCTAACCTTTAATTTAAAATTTCCAAAGGTCTCCTATAAGAACATTATATATGGGATTGGGCTTTTTATGGTAATTTAATGTATATCTATTACTACCTTACATTGCTACAGATTACTTCTGACCCAAAGTTTGATTTTTTTTTTTTTTGTTTCTCAAAAATGTGTCCCTAAATGTCTTCTAACAGGCTGGCATAAAATGTCCACAAGAACACTGGGAGATCTAGCTTATCCACTGCAGTATTTACAGTACATACCGGTGTTGGCAGTCAAAGGTATAAACAGACAAGATGGGGGAAACATTTTGAAAACGTACTGTTCTCTGTAATATAAAAAAAACAAAAACATACTGTGTTTGACACCACGTTCACAGCAGTCTGATTATGAAGCTAATAATGTTCTATAACAAATGTAAAATATGGAGTGGGTGTGTGCATACACTGGTTCTTGTGCACATGTGCATGTGTATTAGTGTGTGTGTTATAACGAAGGCATGCCCTGCTGTGTGAGGAATGTCTATGTGATTACTTAGAGACCACTGGAATCTGTCTGGCTCAGCAGAGCAGCTCTTGAGCCTGGTTTGCCACACTCACATGTACGCGTCGGTGGAAGGATCAGTGTGGAATCTACTATGTCCTGGTCTAAAATGGAACGGGGTCTGTGGCTGCTTTGCAACACATACCCAGGTATTTGTTGCCATGTAGAGTTAGCCAAGCGTACTAGTAAAGAGAGTATTCCGGTGGTTTAAAACTACTTTTAGACAAAATATTACTGCCTCTCGTACCCACCCACCAGGCTGTTTAGATCTGGCTTCAAAACAACCCCCTTTCAAGATAACAAGTAGGGAGATGGTCCTTTTGTGCGAGCACGTGCGTGTACGTACAATGTGTGATATCTGATCTTCTTAGCGGAGACGAGACTCACCATCAGTCACGGTGCTACACAAAGAAACACAGCAAATTTTCCAAGACATGTTCAGCCACAAAGGCGTGTTTGTTCTGTGTCCAAGTACCTTGATTTGAAAACACCCATTATGGTGCACAGGCCAACAGAGAACCACTATCAAACAACCTGGGATTTTCCATGAAACACTCAAGTCCCCTACCCTTTTTCCTATTCAACAAATCAATAGGTACATCGCAGTGACTCTTAAAATTGGATCTAAAGAACCAGTTTCTTTTTTGGGGGGGAGGGGGAAATTATATGTGTCTTAATGCTGCTATAATGGGGGGTGAGGGGGGGAATTATATGTGTCTTAATGCTGCTATAAAACGGCTTTGACTTTTCTACAGAAAAGTTTGAGCAATACTTTTGAGTGAGGGCAGCGGTTGCTAAGATAACGCTCGTTGAAAGTCTTTATTTCTTGCTACCCAATAACAGAACATTCCTTTCCATTTTTATTTAAAAACTTGGACTGATGTTTGCTTTTAAGAGTTGTGATGTTGCAGAGTCGTCCAGAAGATCCTGGGGTGTGTCCTACCAATGGAAAAAGAAACACACACGCAGGCACACATGGATTCCTTTCTATTTACAGCCCAGAGCGGGCACCCGAGGAACCTACAGCTGATATCTCCCTCCAGTAATTTATAACATGTACACATGCTCTATGGGATAGATTGGGCAGTCGCAGCCAAGTCGTGTTCAGTCAAGTTCAACTCATGAATTTAAAACACATTTTCATTGGCCGTGGTTGTGACTGAAGACTGATCTTAATGTCAGAAGCACCTGCACACTGGAACACAGGGTGCGGCTGGGTAATCACTTTAGGCTGTGATCCTCTGCGAGATAAGGTGCCTCATGATTTTACAAGTGCTTACATTAACTACACTACATTTTTACTGCTATCAGTAAAACAGAGGGACAGGGAAGAACCATTTTGGAAATGTTTCTGTGGATCTTCCCTACTCTTTGCATGCAGGGTGAATGGGGTTTTGTATAGACATTTTCAGGAAAGACTTGAAAATTCCAATAGAAAAAAACAAAAACATTTTCGTATTAAAATAAAATACAACCTTTGACAAGTTCTTTCTTTCATTGGTGAATTTTAGGCTGATCACGTCTAATGTCCGTGCTGGTAATCCCCTTGTTTTTGCCAGTTAACAAAATACTTTAAGTTGCAGTTACTATATAAACAATCAACAACGGCTTTAGTCACGGAAGGACTTTGCTCTCTCAACTGTGGAAAACCCAGAATTGTGATGTGGGCTAAACTGAAGGTTGAAAGTAAAATTTCACTCACCTTTTTTTTTCATAAATACTTTAACCAATCTGTATTGCAATTATTTTGTGAATTTGTCCTACATACCTATGCACTCTTGCATTACGTTTGTATTTGGGTAAAAAAAATACAAATTAAAAACTGATGAATGTTTTGGATTTTACTAAAAAAAGTCCATAAAATAGATAATTGTAAAGTAGATAGTCCGAATACTTCTACCTAGGTAAAATTGTTTTTTCTTTGGACAAAGCCAAGTAAAATAACATGTAAACTGACTTCTGTGTTGTTGCACTCATGCAAGCATGAAGTTACTAATTACTGCTACAAGCTCTCAGCTCTTACAAGTAACCCTGACTGATAGAGTCGTGCACACAATCTGCAAACTCTCCTGTCAAAACAAAAACTAATCTGCTCTGCTGGCCGTGCACACAATCTGCAAAACAAAAACTAATCTGCTCTGCTGGGCCGTGGCTGCTCCAAAAATTCAACTCAAAAATTCACTTTTTAAAAATGATCTATTTAGTCCAGACACCTCCATCTAGTCTTAGTTCAACAGGAATGGAGTGTAACGGTAGTAATCTAACGTCAATAATAGAGCCTCTTGACACTGAGGTTTATTTTATCCAACATACCAACAATTGAAACCAAACGATATGTGTTGGATTCCCTTGTCATCTGTTTATTAACATGTTCAATCTATCACGCAGACAGGACTGGCCTCTGTCCTAACCCAAATAAATTTGTATCCAAAAGCTGGGGTTTGAGGCCTGTGTTTAAGATCTAGATCTAGAACAGCTGCATTAAACACAACCCACCAAAAATAACCAAACACTGACAAGTTAAAAGGGGGACTGTGATTAGAAATCGACCAGCCTCTGTTCCACCCTGCTGCTCTTCAAAGCTTTTCTGTGTGTATGAGTGTTGACTGTGTGTTAGTGTGTGTAAGATGGCTGCATAATAACAGAAAGACACACACCATATTTGGACGAGGAAAATCAGAACGGCCAACACTGTAATTGGTTGATTTCCTAGTTGCTTTGAGCGGGGGGGGGGGGGCCAAAGGGGCCAAATTACAGAGTAGTCTGCCTCAGGACGTCATTACACCAACAGACATTTGCCGCTACCACTGCTGGCTGGTTGCTTATCCAGGCCAGAGAGGAAAGGTGGGTGTGTTTGTGCACGTGTGTGTGTGTGTGTGTGTGTGTACCCCTCTGTGTTTTCAAGTCAAGTCACAAAAAAAGATTACAGGGGTCCATGGGTGGGGGATTATGCTTAAGTCAAAGGGTCTAGTTTGCCACATTAGTAGTGGCATGAAACCAGCTTTGAAGCAGACAAAGTCTTATTTGTAGGTCACCATGAAAGAGCCCAGATAACACACTCTTATTAGCTCTCTTGGGGCATCATTACATCTATGCACATCCACGTAGACCAAAACCAATGACGCTGTTGTTCTTTAAATGTTCATCATACAAATACTCAATGGCAATAAACCATAATAAATTGTGATGTACTAATACCCTTTACTTTAAATACTTTTAAATACCTTTATTTAAATACATGTATTCAAAAACATGGACTGATCCAGTTGCCCAATACTGCGTAACAGATTTTCACCACGACCAGCTGCTCCCTGGTCAGCCATGTATTTGTGTGTATATGCTGTCCTACTGCAGTTCACCTCGTAGCTCCCATAGGTAGTTAATTTAAGTAGGTCAACAAAATCAGTTCATTCTTTAAACAGCAACACCAACCACAGAGTGCGACTTGTGTTTTCCATACATATAGCAAAGTAAAAATGACATTACAACATAATCTGTGGAATCTCCCTGGGGGGTTCTTTAACTGTTTAGGGCTCCATTTTATGCACTCGTCTAAGCAAAACCACCTCAGCCGAATCCAATGACTTTCTCATTCCTTTTGTGGAATATTTTTATTCATTTTTTTTACAAGTCTGTTAGCTAGTCCAAGTAAAGCAATAAATATAATAAAAAAACTCTTGATACCTTATTGCCTGGGCAAAACTAACCATTAGCAACAAGAAGACCGATATTCATTGAAGCGTCAGTATCACAGGGTCATTTATTTGACCTTTAACTTCCAAAGCCAATCGAATAACAAATCATCAGTAATTAGTGCTAATTGGAAATATGGTAGAAAAGGACAGTGGAATATACTGCCAAGCCCAACATCTTTTATACAACTGTCAGTCTCTGTTCATGTGTGGACACTTGGACACTAAAGAACTGCCACAAACTGTTAATCAAAGAGTAATATTGAACACAGGACAACCGTGTCTACTGTACTCGCCCAACAATGGGCGTTTATTCCGCCTGTCGTAAGATGTACGCGTCATGACACGTGGCCACTTAAAACTAACTGGCAGAGGTGGCTCGCACTAACACCCATTGTGAGCATAAGACAGGGAATCATACTGGCAGGAGGTGTGTGCACTCGGTGCATTAACAAGACAAACGGAATCAGGCTTAAAAGGATTAAACAAGTAAAAAGAGACGGAAAATGACCTCTGGACGGTTTTGGCAAATATGGAGCTTTCACATAACCTGGCTCTGCTTGTTTGATTTATGACGCATTGTAATTTTTTTTTAGAAAGTAGATGAGTGGGAAAAACATTTCCCAGGAATTGCACAACATTGTTAACAGAAATGGCAAACACTTTTTTTGTACTATTTGGATGAAGTCTTTCCAAATATTTACTTTTTAGAGCCGCTCTAATGGATGAGATTTATTAGTTCTTTTAGATTATTTCCGTTATTAATTTATGTTTTTAACAGGGTAATAAATAAATGGAAAAAGGAAATAAAGATGTTTTTAGTCTACTGTAGAAGAAACTTTGTTGGAAATAATTTTTACTCACATGTTCATGATTGTAAGCATTGATTGACTTCTTCTTAAATGTAAGAATTAACACATAAATGTAGGTTGTGGTTGCAAAGAAGAAGAAAAAAAGCAAACAAACGAGAAAAAAAAAGAAAAAAGATACCAAGGTTTGGTACATGCACTGGGTCACGCACTCACCTTAGCTGCGACTGCAGTTTGCCAGCCTTGGTGATAAAATCTTCCCAAATAGGGTAGCTGCTCTGTGGAAAAACAACAAGAATGACACAATCATCAGAACAGATTTCTGGATTCACACTGTTATATAACATTTCCACAGACGTGAGGTCAAACTGACACTTATCAACAGGGATAAACAGAAGCCAAGGCCGATGCGTTCCATCACCCAAGCCCTGTTTGTCAGCCCCCCTAAAAAACATTACGTGAAGCTGAAGTAAACTTAACTTTATGTAATAAGATGACCTGTAGACTAGAGAGAGTCAGATTTATTCCCTTGTGTTTATCTTTATTTTGACTCTGTACCTTCTATAAACAAGACCAGCAGACATCAACAGAGTTAAAAGTCAAAGAGTTCAGATTTACTCCCTTGTGTTTTATCTTTATTTTGACTCTGTAGCATCTATAAACAAGACCAGCAGACATCAACTTCATGTCCAACAAGTATTACAAAGTAAAACAGGTCATGTGACTATTTCTGAATGATCCCTGCACAACACTGGCACTGATACTACATTATGATGAGCCTGGTTCCCAATGGATAGTAGTCTAAATTTGATTCACCCAATTCAGGTCCTGAGCCTAAAATAGTTGAAGAGCCCTTTATCCGAGCGATCAGAGAGAACAAGTAGACTAATGCATCGACAAGAGGAGGCTAACACGGTGATAATACAGCACACAGTGAAGTGATATGGCACGACCACATGTTTGTCAGTGATGTGCTACTACTGTCAAAGACCTGAGGAATGTCCTGTTATACTGCCAAACATTACACCCAACAAACACCTCTCTGCTGTGACTGTCTGCCCCCCCTCCCTCTGTGTCTTTTGATTGCCATTACATCACTCTTGTTCCATTTTCATCTTCTCCTCTCTCTCTTCCACTTTCTACTCTCTTCGTCTTGTTCAGCACTTCAGTGACTGAGCACTTTCTACATTTTATCCTTCTTGTAACAGATCAAGACAGAAGTTGTCAGAGGTCGATTTAATGTAAAATCTGGACTCATGAAGTAAGTGCAAATAAGTTTGAAATAGTCTTAATGTCAAACAAATCCAGGAGTCAAAACACTTCAACTTCACGAACACTTTGTTTCAAAGTTTTCTTTCCAATCTTTGACGCCAAATGATCAGATAATTAGCATAACATTCACCGCACAGACAGAATGATTGTAAAGCTGTAGAAAAAAAAAAGAAGCTACTCAGTTTACAGGCACCACAAGGGGATCCAACAATTTCGGATTGTACCAATTACGCTATGGCAATAATTAGAATGACAAATTTTAACCTGTTAGTGCTAGGCTAGTTGCTTTAAGCTATTAATAAGTTACACAGTAAATCAAAATCTGACAGTGTCAACATTCTGTATATTCTTAAGGTCAATATGTTGCTTTTGCAATCCACGATATTTTATGTGTGTGTGTGCTTGTGTGACATTGTTTAGCACTCAGTCAGGCTACCATGTAATATAAACACCTGGTTATAATTAGACTAAGACTATACTTCAGTTTTCCTTTACGTCCTGATAAAGCACAGAAGTTGCGATGTAGCTCAAACTAGTGGATGTTTTTTTTTGTTTGTTTTTTTTTTTAAAGCTAGGGTCGGTACCGGGATGGAAAGGAAGCCCACAGAAAATTTGAATGTTTTTGGTCGGTAAGGACAATGGATGTGCACTCCTGAATTTGCATGTTTTTCCATGGCGCTATCTGGCAACAAAGTTACCTGACAGTCCACAGACAAGAGGCCTACGAACTGACCAGCCAAGTGAGACATGGCAAAATGAGAAGTGCTGACTGTCTGCACAGTATTCATAACAAACTTTCTGACTCCAGCAGAACCCCTGGCTGAACATTTGACCTGCACATGTCACAGCCTTCAGAGCCTGTTGGTGATTTTTCTGGCCTGGTAGCTACATTCCCTGGATTCCTTTAGGCAAGAACACAACAGCTGGGAAATCTACTAATTGTCTCATCAGAAACAGACAAAAATATCTTTAAGAGAAATAAGATGCCCTAGTTCTGTGACTTTGTGATGATTTCCTTATTTAGGTTACGTGTACTGACAGCTGCTACCTCCCCTTCAAACTGGAACAAGTGGACCAAGTGCTCCAACAAAACTGGAGCAGGGTGTTTAATTATGCAGATATAATATAATAATTAATCAAACCTTTAAAATAAGTTTAATTTGTTTAAAGTAGAGGCTGTGTTAACTTTATTGTTATGTTTTCCATATGTACATAGTCGGTTTTTTTTTTGGCATTCATTTTTTTCCACAGGATATTTTACAAGTGCGTAGACAAACCAAGAACCACCTGCATGAATAATAATGTTGAATAAAACAACGCCTTTACATTCATTAATTCTGAATTCCAAATGACTCAACTAAAGCAAATGAGATGGGGTCAAATGTGCCTGCCATTTAAAATCAATTCACTCTATTCATGCATGCTACAACTTGAACGTGGTAACACGTCATACTGTGTGTATTTACTGGTATATTTTACATACTGGGGCTAATAAAGTCATTTAAACTAAACATATCACGTTTTTCTCTTTGGCATCAATCAAAACTGAGACACAGTATTATAATTATCTTTTTTTTAAGGAAAAACGTATTGTTTTTTAAGAATTTGACAAATCAGTCAACATCAGAAAATCCCCTTGGGTGACTAACGAATATTCGTTTAGAAATTGACTTTTAAGTTTAACGATTTTATAAACAGTTTTTTTTAATCAAAATTATATTTATAATGTTTAAAAAGCGATGTGATCTGTACATAATCTTACCGTTTGAATTTAATTAGTTTTAATGAAAAACTACCAAAATAGTTGTTAGAGACGTTCGTAGTCGATTAATCTGTACAGCCTAATCATCCAGGGCTCTAAAACTGATGGACTGGTTATAACGATGCGGAGGCCAAATGGTGTAATATTGCAAACGCAAATAGAAACTAAATAGGTCTGGCAACACAATACGAGCTATTATTATTTCCGGAAATAATACATTAACCGTAGTAATTCTGTAAAAGTTATTACAGGTTATTGTACAATATAGATCCAGGTCTGTATCTGACTGGAGAAGTTTACTTAGTTTAAAAAACTTGTTTGAGTGTTTCCGTTGTGTCGAAATCCAGTTAAGTAGCCTCAGGTGAATGAGCTGTTGCACTGAGCAGCTGGTGTTTAAAACACAATAAATATGCATTCAAGTCCACAAGTCTTACTTTCATGTCTGCGATAACCGTTTGAAAGAGTCCTCCGAGTGCACTGCATTCCTTCTCGATCACAGCCTCCATTTTCAGGACCAACTCCAGCGGTCAGTCCCGACTCCGTGAGCCGCTCTCACTTTTCCAGCTTCCAATGGAGGAAAAACTCAAAATTCAACTTAGTTAAAAAAAAGTATTTAACCTATATACGCTATACCTGCTATTTTTTAGGTAAAAACAAAAGAAAACCTTAAATCTCAGTCGAACGTGTAGAAAAATGCACTACTGGGTTCGGCTTTGCTGCACCGTTTACTTCCAGTCAACAGACCGGACGAAAGGCGAAATTTAAACCCCACTCTCTCCTCCACGTCGTCGCAGTAAAACCCATGGCTGCACCGCAAAATCCGCCGTTGCAGAGATTTTTTTTCTGCTCGAAAAATGCAATTATTTCCACAATATTCGGCTGTAACGGCTGTCGTTTAGAACGATAGTAAATACCGACACTGTGTGACCCACACACTCCACACTCTGACTTCTCTGCACAACAACCAAGGCGAAGACGCGATTCCACGGATAACCGTCAAGATGACGTAAGCATACCGGAAGTGAATGAAGTGTGTTTCTGGTCAACAGTTTTCACCAAAATAATTCACCCAAACGCTAACAAATAATAATAATAAAAAAAACAACGTCACGATACAAGGGGGAGGGGGATCGGTGAATAAATTTGTGTTCTCGATTCTGATTATGTTTCTTAGCGTTCCACTTTTTTCAATAGGTAAAATATCTCATACTGTATAAAACAACAGTTACGTGTGAAAGGTTATATTTGACAGCTTACACTGCCACGTACAGGTAAAGTGCGGTAAATGCAATCAATAGCATCTAATGTTTCTTTCCCATGTTCTGGGGAATTTAACCTTTTTTAAAAGAACCCGAAAATAGACTTCATCAGTTATTCTTAATAAAGTTTATGGACATTTTTACTTATACAAACATATTTTGTTTTGCAAATTAAAGGTAAAAAATTCTTAAAATTGAATTAGCTCAAATGACAATATAATTAGATGATGGCCACAAAGAGTGTGGCATTTTGTGCATTTAAGTGAAGGGAAGAAGTATATTTACAACTCATTACTCAGTTTATTTAAACTTAGGTATTTTTATACATTAATGTTGTTTGATCACCTACTTAGTGTTCCTCTAATCGCTTTGGATATAAGCGTCTGTTAAATGCATAAATGTAATTAAATCCAGGTCAACAGGTCACTGTTTCCTCTCCCCACGTATTAATTACAGCACCTAACTTTGTGAGTAAAATAACATTCCGTTAAAAAATGGATTTGGATAGTTATTTTCCTTCACATACATTTTAAAAACTGTAAAGCTTTTTGTTGTTTTTCCACGGGTTTTTTTTTCTTTCATTTTTTTCCCGACGATGACATGATCTAATCATCCTGTAGATGGCAGCAGTGGACCGTTGCTGGTGGTGGAGCAGCTTTTTGCCGTTTACAGGATTACAAAGAGTGGGACACGATTGTTCATAGTAAAACAACAATTTTATTACATTCCGATATAAAACGTGACTCGAATACTGTGCCTTACATCTTTAACATTCGCCCTCATACTTTATAAAAACGACTCAATTATTTACAATACATTTAAATTACAATAAATACATCATAAATACACGAAGAAAACACAATTCGAACAGCGTTACGGCAGTCTAACAAGGCTGGTTTGACTGTTTTGCACTTGAATTTAAATCAGCATCAGCTGGACTTTACCACAGTAGCATAGATCACGGCTTCCTCTCTTTCTGCTTCTTTTGGACTGAAAAGAAAAATAAATCAATATAAGACAAGTATTTGATACGAAGTGGTGGCATCTTTTCAGCTGTGATGTTGAAATCTTGTAAATAATGCAAGTATGATGTAATGATGTAAAAACCTCAAGGATTTCCTCTTTTCATAATAAAAACGACCAGTCCACTGAATTGTACCCACAGGGTACATTTTACCACATTAACTAGGACAATAAAAAAATTGATTTTTATTAGATATCTAGAAACAGGAATTTGGAAGTTTTGTCAAAACATAGCAGATGAGGACGTAAGCTAAATTGTTAAAAGTTAACTCTAAAAGGTGTGCACACGTTGGCACACAAGTGTTGCAAAAATAGGGTTTCCAGAATTTGTGGAAATATTTTAATAAATTGATCTCAAAATGACTTCCCCTTAGTGAAGGTCACATATGTGTTTCTTCTGTAGCTTTTAACATATGGGAAATAAATATTATTTTGAGGGATTTTAAGATTGAACACTCACCAATTGACAATAGATCAATAATAATACATGTTCATAGCTGTAGTTTCAAATATTAGGACAGTAAACTCACCAGGACGCCTTGTCATTATTTGTGTGATCAGGATTCCTGGGTTTGATGGTCACTGTTGTGTAGGTAACGTCATCTTCATCAGATAATACAGCCTGAAGGAAGAGCAGAGCCACGGCTTTATTCACTACTGTTTGTCATTTACTGACAAACGTCAATACGCGTGTCCTGTATTTACATCGTAGATTTGGACTGATTCCCGCTGTGAACGAAGAGCAGAGTGAGCAGAGGGAGACGGTGGACATGTCTCCATGGGGTTGGCGTAAACGTTGTCAAGCTGATCGTCTTCAAGGGAAGCCTGCAGGAGAAAGGAGCAGAGAAGATCATCAACTCCAGTTGTCTTTTTCACAGTTACATTTTAGTTTGTTACACATTTTTAGTTACATTTACAGTTTGAATGTCCCCTATATCACAGTTCTCTGCTCACTGATACCACTGATACGGTTCAGCTGCCTCATATTCTCAGAAGGTACTTACTTTTTTTTCTGCTTTTGCTTGACTTTTCTTCTTCCTAATAAGAAAAAAATGAAATTATTATAAATACTGTGAAAACATGTGCAGATTAACAGATATATTTAGGTTGGTTCTGCTTTTAGCCTTTGCTCATTCCAGTTATTTACTGTTAATGAGAAGTCAGAATGTAACAATGGGGAAACACAGGGTCAGCAGAATGTTGCACAGTGGAATCAGTTACAATACGGTACACAGAGTCACAGAGAGAGTTGTGAAAATTTAGAAGGAACAACTTGTGGTTGTGGTAAACAAGAAGTCACTCAGCGTCACTTACCAGATCAGCAGAAGTAAAGCCATCACAGCCACCGCAGCAGCCAGAGCTGCCAGTCCAATTATCATTGGTTGAAATTGACTGTCTGAGAAAATAAAACATATTAAAAAAACATTTGAAAAGTATTTTTGGCTTGGTTTCATTTAATCATAACACTCAAATCAGGCAAAAACATTAAAACACAAAATAGACTAATCACAAAACCTGACGACTTAAACAATAAAGTACTTAGAATATTTAAAGTTCTGACTTCTGACTTTGTGTGTAATTATATATTTTTTTTTCAGATTTGAATCATTACTTTTGCCTAGAATCACCTCTAAAATCAGAGTTAAAGACAGGTCCTTTATTATGGAAATAACTAAAGCAGAAAACACTAAGAAAGTAATCGACTGGAGTTTCTGATGGTGACGATGACGACGACTGCACAGATACTAAAGTCGAACAAACCATGGTGCTCCTTCTTTACGGTCACAAGCAGCAGCCCACTGGAGTTCCTCTCCCCCACACTGTTCCTGGCCTGGCAGACGTACACTCCTTTATCTGAAGCCTCCACCGAGTGAAGAGTCAGCACCTTCCCTGAGCCCACCCACAGCATGGAGCTGGAGCTGTTAGAGTCGCTCTGTCTGTACCAGGTGTAGCTGTCCGCCGCAGGGTTGGCGTCGCTGCTGCAGGTCATATTCACACTGCCGCCCTCAGCAGCTTCATGTGGATTCATTGAAACTAACATGGTTGTTGGTCCATCTGAAAACAAAGGTGTGTGTGTGTGTGCGTTAGTAAAAGACACAGGTGCAATAGTTGGCTGTGTGACAACATGGCAGGTTTGTATTTATAGATCAACTGTTGATGACCAGGCAGGTTTAGACAGATGTCCTCTAGCAGCAGGAGACAGAATATTCAGTTAGTCAGCAGGATGACACACGTTCAGCCGGAAGACTTTGGTGACTCTTCACGTTCCTCAAATGACCACAGACTGGGCCACTTTGTGGTGCGGTCTGGGCCGCGCGGCACCTACAGGCAGCTATTTGAATCGTCTGGTACTGTATATTAAATCATTGTTTCCCAAAGACTGGGTCGTGACCCTTGTGTCTGCTAAGCAGAAATTAATTTCTTGAGGCTTTTATTTTGACAGGGTCCTGTTTTCTTTGTAACAAAACTCTTATTTTGAAGTGTTTTCCAAAAATGTTTTCTTCTGGAAACATCAGTTTTCGGCGCCTTTTTCTGACTGGGTCAGCTACACCAGGAGTTCACGGTCATCGCAACAATTTATTGTGAATTAATTGTTCAGATATCACTCGGTCAACAATAAAATATCCTCATAAATGTTCAATAATGCTCATGTACACCTTTATTTTGTGATTTATGAATAATGTCACTTGACTTGGGTCAAGAAGATTTGTGAATGGCATTGTACTTACACTGGACATCGAGGTAAACCTCTGTGGAGTTCGTCACGTCCTCACCCATGATGTTGTTCCACGCTGTACAGTGGTACAGTCCAGTGTCATTGGGCCGGACGTCTGCGATGGTTACGTTCTGTCCAGACACGATCAACTGTCCGTCCTTGTACAAGTTGTATCCTTCAGGCGTCACAGCGGGGTTGGCTTCACTGCTGCAGGTGATCGTCACTGAACTCCCAGCGATCACTTTTTCTGGCATCAACAGTGTCACATTCTTTGGGGCATCTGACCTCGGAGACATACAGTAAATGTGATGCTCACACATACTGACAGGACATTCCGTTTTGACTGCCTTCTGAAGAAAAACCTTTCAAATTTTTTACGCAGTGTTCTTCTTTTTTATACGTATAAGTGAGTAGAGCTGCTAATAGCACAGTGATTTATAAATGATTTTAACCTAGCAAAGAGAAGCTTTAAAAAAACAAAAACAAATGGGGAGTAAAAGAAAATTAAAAGCTAAAGCTAAAATTTTCCAAACTAAAAATATTTTTAAGAAAAAGAAAATGAAGAAAGATATTGACGCTTCAAATTAGCAGCACTAACTAAGTAAGAAAAAAGATAAATAATAAAAAAAACGCTAAATGCTAGCATAGTCCAAAAATGGATGAAATAACTTACATTGAACATTCAGAGTAACAGAGGCCGATATGACTGACTCTTGTCCCCGGATGGCACAGTGGTATTTCCCAGCATCCTCTCTGCTGACCTGAAAGTCTGACTCCTGGACGCGTTGTCCATCCCTGAACCACACTGTGGATGGAGAGCCTCCACAACCTGACCTGCAGATCAGACGAACACTTTCTCCCTCTGACACGGTGCTCGGCACCAAGACAGCGGTTAGCTCTGGTTCAAGATGAAACGCAGATGTGAAATCATCACCACATTCCTCAGTAGAGAAAGTATCCATCAATAATTTAATTTAATTTAATTATCTTACCTCGCACAAATAAAAAAGCATAATCTTTACTCCTCCATCTGTTGAACGTCGTGACAAAACTGAAGTAGTAGCGTCCTTGATCAGCAGGTCGTACGTCGTTGATCCTGAGGTTACAAAGGCCATGGTAGTTCCCCACGTATCTAAAATGGTCCGGAGGTTCAGGTAGCTCTGACAGGGGAACACGCATCAGTTCCCCGTCCACCTGCAGGACCTTCGACCAGCTGACGGCATTGACCACATGACCATAAGGATAATCGTATTCACACTTCAGAACCAACGATGAGCCTATCAGTGCACACTGATTTCCCAGGGTCACACTCCAATCTCTACTCCAAACACCTTTTGGGGAAACAAACAGTTATTGGTTCATGTCTTATATCAAAGAAAGTTTACTGTAAATCTTTAATGCCTTACCTGGTGTGATCGCAAGGATTATGAGAATAAAAATGCCCATCGTTAAAATGAACCTGTCAAAAATGGATTAAAGAGGGAAGACACTGAGCAGCCTGTGAAGCATGTGACTCAATGATTGTGAAGTTTTGTTCAGTGAACAGCAGAAGTGGTTGAGTGACCCCTCCCTGCTTCCTGTGCTGAGGGGATCTAAGGGGAAGGGGAGTAAAAAAAGGGAAAGTCAGCAAAAAAAAGAGAAATTTTCATTTTAGCTCTGATTAATGGATTATAATATTGTATATTGTTGTATAATATGATACATTAACTACAACAATAAATGTCAGTAAGATTATTAATATTAATATTACTGTTTAGTATATACAAGGAAAAAAGTCTGTGGCAATGAAATGGATTTTTTTGTTTGTTTGTTTTTTGTTTTTTGTTTTGAGTTGATTATACACTGAGGAAACTCTCGGGTTTGGACAGAACAAACTTCCCAGAGGGCTGGGCACTGATGAAAGAGTGCTAAAACGTGACCACACTGTTACCACATCACTGTGTAACAAACTCGTCTGACTTGATGATGTAGAACCACTTTTTGTTGGCACACTTGTTTAATTGCATCTACCCAAAATATTACAATTGTAAAACATTGGTGTAATTCTCCTCTCTCTCACTAGGCAGTACTGAACAGATTCATTTGAAATATATGATTTTTATCAATAAGTATAAGTGACATTTACATTTATTCTGTAGTAGGGGGGAATGGCGTAACATTTGGACCATTATTTGTGCAAAATATTCCAAAACGCCAAGGACAGTAACTAAGTTATCATCAATGTGAATACATTCACTGTTTGCAGCAAAAGACAAAGAGAAAAGAAAGTTCTCTGCACATTGTTTGATGGAAACGTTTCATTTGAACACAAATGTTTATTAATGTTGGTTGTTTGTGATTCTTTATCAACATATTACAGGTTTTTATTACATACTCCACCATTACAACTGCAAACAAGAAGGTTCTCAGAGCTGATTCTTGAGCCCCCACTCCAACCCTGAACCCATCTGTAACGCTGACAGCGCAAACATAGAAACATACTGTATATATATTAATTATTGAAAGCAACTATTCTTAGATTTTTACATTCCCATTTTGTACTACTACAGAAACATTCATTATACCACCAATTATACCACCTATATATATATATATATATATATATAATGATTTAAATGATGGTCTCAATAATCTTTAGTGAATCTGGCCTAGGGAATTTGAATTAAAAACAAAACAAAACAACAACCTTAAGGTAAGGTGATATTATAAGAAAGCCAAATGAGTAAGTGTAAATTAGCAACCAGGGAAAATATTATTTCACAATGTTAGTGTCAAGTGTCAAGTTAAAAAGCGCATTTGCCATAAGTAAATGATGATGATACTGTTTTTTCATTTACTATATTTTGCTGCAATGAGATGCACAGGAGGTGATGTGTCTTCATGCAGCATGCGTGCAGCAGCAGGGGTGCAGAACCACAGGTTGGCTTTAAGGACAGAAGAACCTTGAAGAATCCCAGGACTACATGTGTGGTTCAGACCTGTGTGAGGCATCTTCTCAGTTTGTTTATTGTCTTTAGTCAGAGTGTGGCTCGTGGAACCACAGTGACACGAGCTGCTGTTTGATTCTGCTGAAGGAGAGAGTGAGACGTTTGTTTAGAGACGACACAGGCAAAAACAAAAAGGCACCACAAGAAAAAGTTCTGAGTTCTGTACCAGCTCCCCGTGTTCAGGTGCAGGGCTGCGGCAGTAGAGAGTAAACAGTTTTTGTGTGGTCCCTTGGCCTTTTCTCGCCATCTAGTGGCAGGTTTTGGATCTGCACCTGATCGGCGCTGAATGACATTTATCAGCAAACACAAACCATATGAGTGGACATAAGACATCTGAGTCACATTACTGCACGTACAGAGATATTATTTGGTGAGACAAAAGTGGAAAGGAAGATTTACTGGACTGTCACAAACACAGAAGGTGTGAGGAGAGGAGGAATGAAATGATCCAAAGAAAGAGTGATGACAGGAGACCATGACGGTGGGGCAGATAGGCCAGGAGGAGGTAAGAAATAAAGTAAAAACAGTGGTTCCCTGATGAAAAACTTAAAAAAAAAAAAAAGACAAATGAAAATGAGAGAAAAGATCGATGAAAGCCAGCATGGACGAACAGAGACAGAGACGGAGACAAGTGCTATAAAAGTCCTTCAGGTCTGAAACTGAGACTGAACTGAGAGACAAGTGTTTCAACTTAAAGTCAGTAGAAAAAAAAAGATGAATACGTTCATAGAACAAGCTAAAGTAGAAATAAAAAAGATGAATACGTTCATAGAACAAAGGTCAGTTTAGCCCACGTCACCAGGGCTTTCGTACTATATTGACGATAATATTATAAAATATATCTGTGTATTTTTCGACATTTTTAAATCACAAAATCATAGTTTTGTTACTAATTGACATGGTAACGTCTTATCTAGATTTGGAAAGGAGAAATAGCAGCTACCTGGACAGCCTGGAGTAGTGGACAGTGATGTAGTCCAGGCCAGGTTTAGGAGTTTTAAATTCTGGGATTGGTGGAGCGTCGTTCAGAGGAACAATAGACGGATGTGAGCTGTCACTCAAGTCCTCCGGCTCCTCCTGCAGGAACACAGATGTTAAAAAAATGGGAACAAATCTAATTATTTTCCTTTTTTTTTTTATGGGAACAAACCTAATTATTTTCTTATCTATTTTTTTTTGTAAATTAGAGCTTCTCCTTGTGACTTTCTCACCATAATGTCAGACATTTTAGCCGTTCTCCCAGGGAACGTCTGCTGCGTTGACTCATAGAACATGGTGTCGGCTGTGATTGACGGACGCTGGAGTCACAAACAAGTCAGGAGAAAAAAAAAACAAAACAGAAACATTTGAATTGGAAAAGTGAATCATTTCAAATCCTCACACAGTAAACACTGCACCTTGTTTGCTCCTTCTGTCGACTCCGTGTCTACTCTGTGCATGTTCTTACTGTGAAGACACATCAGAACGACAAGGACATAATTCTCACAAAACCTTTCAAAAAACAGTTGACATAAAATAGTATTTATACTAATAATATACACTATACTATATATATATAGACACATTTAGACATTATTTATAGTATATACAGTATAGAAAAGGATATAGTATATATGTATATATATAAACATATATATATATATAGTATATCCTATCCTATACTATATATACAGTACATATATAGATAGTCATATATATCTTTATATATATATAATGTAATCTATCCTATACTATATATACAGTACATATATAGATAGTCATATATATCTTTATATATATATAATGTAATCTATCCTATACTATATATACAGTACATATATAGTCATATATATCTTTATATATATATAATGTAATCTATCCTATACTATATATATATAGACACATTTAGACATTATTTATACTATATATAGTATAAATAATGTCTAAACATGTTGTGAACTTGTGATTAATTTACTGTCATGAAGTGTTCAGGAGTCAGCTGTACAGTAGAGTTTAACAGCATTTAGAGAAGAGACAGTGCAGCAGCGTTGTCACTTCCTGTCACCTTATCATGATGGCCACCGTCAGAGTGATGAGACCAGCAGATACCCCCACTGCTGACGCCAGGGCAATGGCCTTAAGGCGTCCTGCAGATGGACAGATAATAAAGGTCATCACAGGGATTTGAAGATGAAATGACAAGGGGCCTCATCTGGAGATGAGTTAAAACGAGAAGGAGAGCGAGTGAAAAAACAAACATTTAAATAGAAAGTGGAATAAAAATGAAAGAAAGTGAACGGTGGGTGAAGAGCCGTGCATCATCCTGCAGCTGTCTAGACGTCGCTCTTGGGTTTCCAGCTGCGATTTCCAAACCCAACTACACTTCTTCAGCTGTCTAGACTCAAATAGTTTTCCACAACACCTCATCGCCTCCTCCTCCTCCTCCTCCTCCTCTTCCTCCTCCTCTGCAGTCATAGTGAGAGGACTTAACATGACTCACCATGACTCATAGAAAAACAGCCAGGAATCATGGGACCATACACAATGAAGACCAGAGCTCGGACCTCATGCTGTGAAAGTGACAGGACCGGGAGGTTCTATCACTCACCACTTCACAGACACGCAGGGACCTTTCCAAACACCCATCACTGCCATATTCTCACATAAATACTCAAGCGCCTGTTTGACCACCCCGACCCCCCCCCCCCCCCCCCCACCCCCCCCCCCTACACACACGAAGACACACAGCAGAGACACGGTACAGTAGAAGCAGAGCAGCGATGTTTCAGTAAGTTTATCAGAGACACATCATTTCTTCCACTGCTTTACTGAAAACGACAGCCGGGCAAATCATGACTCACTGTAGAGAAGAGACAAAGAAAAAAACCACAGAGCGGCCGCAACAGTCTACGCATCAGCGTCAGCGAATGGTCATCAGCAGAGATAAACCGTGGCGTGATGAATGTGAATCAGAATCAACAAGGACTGATAAGTTGCACACCTGATCTTGAGGAAAGCGCCGGCGCCTTTATGTGGTTTTGCTGTTAGCAATCAAGTTGACAATGTAGTCTGGTGCGTGAAATCGGTTGAACCAAATATTTCCAGCTCATCTCGTTATTTTAGTGGTCGAATGAATCAGTCATGATTTAATTCAAGCACAGACAGACATTACACAGAGGCTGAGGAGCCGCGTGTGTCCCAGGAGCCACAGATTGCGACCCATGATATAAAGTATAAAGCAAATGAGGTCACTTCTCACTCAGTTGATGATATTAAAATTTTTCTTTTTTATAGTCTATATGTCACTGGAGTTAGATCTATTTCATTGGACTATGATGTCAGCTGTGGGAATGACAATCTAATTTAGAGGGGAAACAGATGACATAGTGGCACTGATGTAGAAAAGTCATTTTAACAAAAAAGAAATATATATATACTGTATATAAACGGTCTTATAAATGGGATTCACTTTTTTCTCTCCCACTGTAACTGTGAACTATAGATACAGTTTGTTTCAGTCCAGTTCACATCAGTCGATCGACGAAAATCTACTTTTCTCCAAACTCCACAATCGTGGGTCGCCACTGATAAATAAAGGCTTTTGTCACATTTATTGTAATAAATCACAAAAGACGTCTGTCAGGAAATATGGAAGATATAAAACATGGTCAAAGGAGACATGTACTACCTCTGACTCGCACAGTAAGAACCGGCGACCGGTGGGCACCGATCCTGTTCCTGGCCTCACAGTAATACTGGCCGCTCTCTCCAGGCCCCACCTCTGAGAAGGTGAAACTGGGACCAGACTTGCTGCCCCAGGCTGCATGACGGAGACACAACAACAACAACAACAACAACAACAAAAAGAAATCCCGTCAGTGCGACTGATGTAGACGACAGATGAACAGAAACCGCGGGTTTACGACCCGGATATAAATGGTCTGGTGACGTTAACAACTTTGAGTTGAATCACATTTTCGGGATGCTAACATTGTACAGAGCCCCCGTCCAGAGTGAGGCGGTGCCACGTGAAGTTGTCCACAGCTGGGTTAGCCTGACTGCTGCAGGTCAGAGTCAGAGGTCGGCCCGCGTCCACCACGCTGGAGGGACGGGCCAAGACCGAGGTGTTCTTAGGAGGGTCTGGAGGAGGACGGAAAAATAGCAGTAATAGTAATGTACTAATGAGTACTACTGACTGATACTCATTTGAATACACTTCATTATTACAGTACAGTTTCTTACATCTCAGGAACCTCGAGATTACGAGTATTCCGAGATATGAGCAAGACTTCGAGCAAATTTTTGCTTTGAGATACGAACACGCTAACAGACACCGACACTATGTGGCCGAGCATTCGGAGGAGCCCACACCACCTGGCTCGTTCACTCCACGTGTTCGCCATGATTCGAGATACGAGCTCGGGCCTGGAACGCATTATTCTCGTATCTGGAGGTTCCTCTGTATATGGATTAAGTACAACTACTACTTACACAGCACGGTGAGCGTTGCTATAGTCGAGCTCTGGTATCCTAGTGGGTTCGATGCCGTGCAGTAGTACTGACCAGCGTGGTGAGAACGCACTGATGTGAACGTCATGTTCTGCACCGTTCCTTTCGCCAAAACCTGCTCTCCTACGATTTGATACCAAGCAAACCTGCAGGAAAAATAATAAAAATCATTTGTCTTCATGAAAAAAAAAAATCATATGGTGATAGTTAGAGTATCTGATACAGTAGATACAGATTTATACAGTATGTGTGGATATTATGTTTACTTGTACCTGTTGGCAGGAGGGTTTGCGTGGCTGCTGCAGTTCAGGTTGACGTATGAACCTTCTCTGATGTCGCCTCGAGGACCGATGAGCACACGTGTGTTCTTTGGAGAGTCTGGTTATAGAAGCACACGTCATCTCTGTTCACACTCTGGGACTTTTCTTTATCAAATTAACCAGCAGTGAAAATGTAAAGACAACGTTTGGAGAAGGTTTCTGTTTCATTTTAGCAGGTGGAACTGGCATCGGTTTTTATAAAGTAATGGGAACTGATTCCTCACTTTTTGAACTGTGTGGAATTTGATATTTTCTGCAAACCACAGACAGGTGAGCTCACATCTCCGTATCAGAATGCATTTGTGTGATATCTACAAACATGCATGTGGATGTGATTTTTTTTTTCCTCCACACAAACTTCTGGCCCTCTTCACTGACATGGAAATGGTCACATATGACACAAATCAAACCATATGTGAGAATGTTGGAGTTCAAGTCTGACAGAATTCACCACAGGACCATTTTATATGGTCTACGCAGAAAATAGCAAAAACGTTATATAGAGGTAAATTATTATATACTGAATAAAAACCTTCTGCTTTTACTTGATAAAAATATTGGAACGTTTTTTGGAAACATCTTGAGAAACACCCTGAAAATCTATACATTTTTGACCACAGCAGTTGCAAAAGTTTGCTGCAAAATCCTGGGTAAACTGATCAAACTAGAAAAACCTGAATTTAAATATCATTATATATTAAAATATCATAATATATATCATAATTTATCATAATATTAGTGACAGATAAAGCATATTTTATGATATATTGATATTTTATATTATTTTGTAAATAAAAGAAGATATTTGGTGAGAGAATGTCTTACATGTGACATCGAGGAACAGTGGTTTGGAGCGATCTGTTCCCAGGGAATTCCGTGCCACACAGAAGTATTCTCCTCTGTCTATGTATCGGAGGTGAGACAGGAGGAGCTGAGGCCTGAAACTGTCTGGAATGCTGCCACTTTCCATGTCTACAAACAAGGAAAGACAAGAAAAAACACCCAAACACCTGCACACCATCACTGACAAACAAATCATGCAAATGCTGTAAATAAAAAATTTAAATGTAGATTCTCTGCTTGAATTGTAATTCAAACAAAAAAGGAGGAAATATAAACTGGAAATATATTTTTTACAGACAGTACTGTCTTGTACCTTTATATCAATATATGTATATATTTTTTTTACAGACAGTACCGTCTTGTACCTTTAAACCAAGCAAAACTCTCTGCAGGTGGCGCTGCGTCACTGCTGCAGGTCAGAGTGACAGAGCCTCCTTCAGTCACTTCTCCTCCAGGAAAAACTGATATGGAGGTGGAATGAGGAGCGTCTGCAGTGAGAGGAGAGAAGAAGGAAGTTTGGAGTCTTTGCCGTGAGAAGCTGAAGGAAACAGGAAGCAGAACATTTGACCGAAGCCACTCACGGCCCAGAGTCAGGGTGAGGGAGGGCGACTGTACATTCTGAGGAGGGATCGGTCGACAGGTGTACGCTCCGGACTGTTGCTGGTCGAAGCGAGTGATGATCATCCACTTCTCAAAGGAGCCAAGGTTGAGTCCGTTCCTGTGGCACGTTGAAATGTCACATTTTATCATAGTGTGAAAAAAGAAGTCAAGAAATAGTGAGAAAGCCATAGTTAACCACCAGAGGGAGACTTCACTGGTTGTAAGAAAAAATAACATTAACTAAAATTCTATTAGAGTCTACTAACATACTGACGTCTCTTCTTTCTTCCTCTCATCTTCTACCATTTCCCTCTCCTTTCCCCTCCTCTTCATCTCTCCCCTTTGTTTCCTTTCTAAAGTCGTCTCCTCTCATCTGCTCTCCTACTCCCTCTTTTGTCACTTCCTGTTGTGTCTCTTCTTCTCTTCCTCTTCTCTCCTCTATTGCCCTCCTTCATCACCTCTTTTCCTCTTCTCTTCTCGTCTTGTCTCCTCCTGTTTTGCCCTTTTCACAATTTTTTGTTTTGCTGCACTGACACACACACACACACACACTCACACACACACACACACCTGTAAAGGGCCAACGTCTTCCCTGCAGCTGCACATCCTCTGGCCTGGCAGCCGACAAACACCGTCTCTCCAAAGCCAAACATGTTGGACGGTCTGGCTGGATGCACCTGGACCTGCAGCTCTGAAACACACACACTCACACAGACGTGTGATAAAAACACACACACACGGGTCGGACTCATAATCCGGTCCAGTAAATCCACCTGTCACATCCAGTGTAACGGTGTCGGGGGAGGTCCATCGACCCAGTGGTTGGTCCGTCTCAAACCTGAAGTGGTACTGACCCGCGTCACTCAGCTTCACAGCCCTGATCTGGACTGAGCAGCTGGAGTAGCTGCCGCCGATGTAGCTGGAAATGAATTATCCAACTGATGCTGTCTCAAAGTTACCTTTAAAATGTATATATTTTTTTTTCTAAAAAAAACCCAACAGTTTCCTACCGTGTGCGGCCGCGGTAGGACAGACTGATCTGGTCTGTGTCAGTGTGGTGGGTGAACTCCCTACGACCCTCCGCAGACACACGGAACCCCCTGACCCGCCTCACGGTGTGGCCTAAAAAGAGAACCAACCAGAGGTAAACGGCAGAATCTGTTGATTTAGTTCTGTGATACATGTTTGAACATTGTTTCATAGGTGAATAATGTGTTGCTCCCTGCAGGGGTCACTAGAGAGGAGCATTCACACCCTTCATCTTCACGCCCTCGATCACCGCGGTACATCATTCACACGGGTGTCTTCTTTTTTCTTCTTCTTTATCCCTGTCCACTATTTGTCCAACATCCACTGTCTGTCCTCAACTCATGTCCAAACTTAAATCTCTCTGACTCTCCAACCTTAGTTTCTATCCATCCATCCATTTTCATTCGCTTATCTGTTACCAGGCCACAGGGGGCAGCAGTCTCCACGACCGCCCACCCAATCACACTCCACTGTACCAGCCCCTCCCAAACCTTCCTGCCGGTGGTGAGTCCACTAGAAGGCGCCAACCGCCCTAACTGGGATTTGATCTTGCCCAGGAGGTGAACCCTGGGGTTCCACACCAATGACAGAGACACTGCCTCTTCGCGACCCTCAGTCGACCTTAGCTGCTAGTTCTTTAAAATCCTACTTAAGCGTTTAAATGTGAGAAATAAACAATAGTTTGATGAGTGTTTCACACCTGAGGGATAATCCAGGCGGCAGGGCAGAGTGACACTGGTTCCTGCCCACACACAGATCTCCTTTCTAGGAAACAACACACTCCACCTACTTTGGATACCTGTAAAAACACACACACACCCAGGAGGAGAATTGAAACTTTGTTCATTTTCAGCACAAATACATACAGTTGGAGATCACAAAACACTGTCAGTGTTGCTTCTTACCTGTTTTTATTGTTTACAGATTAAATGTTAAATGATATATGAAAAAAATGTAAAATTCCCGATTGTCTTAAATCAGCTTAGAATCACATGAACACATCTGTTAACCTGAACCATCAGTGAATGGTCAATGTTCTGAAAATATCTTGATCTTGAAGGTCTGGAGAACATTAAAATGGTCTATAATATATATAAAAAATCCTTGTACATTACTCTATAGCAATGTTTCCCAAAGACTGGGTCGCGACCCTCAGATGGATCGCAGGAGTTTTTTTTTTCTTGAGTCGTCTCGCATCATGTTTCCCAGGAATTTACAAATAATGTCTATTGACTTGAATGTTTGTGACTTTTACATACAACAAGATGGTCTTTACCCTGTCACTGGTTTAATACTGGAGTTTAGTATTTGGAGAACATTAGCTGCTGTTTCTGAATTATTTTTAAATACGTAAGGCAATTAACAAGATTCTCTCCTCCTGGCTTCTGTCAATCAAGAGAACCCCAGGTTTGATGACACGCCTGCAGAAACTTCAGGAAACTGCTGGGACATCAACACTTCCACTGCATGGGTTCAAAACCTGTCACCTCACTTTCCAGCAGGCAGAATGTGGCTCCATGTGCATTAGTGGTGTCGCCCGCTGCTGCCAACAGCTTCTCTGCCTGACTACCTTGCACAAAAGGCAATCAATACTTATAAATAACTGGAGCATTAAGGCAAGGACACCTGGCTGCTCCGCCTGACTCTGCGTCCATCACAGAATGAATGCATGAATCAATCTGTAAAGTGCGTTCATGTTAAACTTGTCTTTTGTTATACAAAAATTACAATTATTGTCACAAACAACTAAGGATCAAGGCCAGCTCCCAGCTAACATTATAAAACTACAGAAGTTATACACCATCATAACCACCCCCCGAAAAACTCCACAATAAGATAGATAGAAGTTGAATATTTGTCCATACCTGGTAGAGCTGTAAAGATAATTCCCACAAGTAAAGCACCTGCCAACATCTCCGCTGACACAGTCTCTGGAGTCACGGCGGCAGATGGAAGACGCAGGGAGACACAGGGGTCAGTGACATCATCGACCTCCATCATAATCTACTGATGAATCATGAAGAAGAACTCACCTTGGAAAAAAAATGTCTTCATCTACCATGCCCTGTCCAACAGAGAGACTAGGGGGACATGTGGGACAGAGGATGATTTTGAAGTGACGAGAGTTTCATCGTGATCAGAACGGGAGGAGCGAGGGGAGCAGAGGAGCAACGAAAGAGCAAGAGGAGGAGGAGGAGGAGGAAAAAGAGCAAGAGGAGGAGGAAGAGGAAGAGGAGGAGGAGGAGGAAGTAAGGGAGCTGGTGTCTCATCCTCAGCTGGTTCTGTTTTCACTTCTCTGTCTGTGGATTAAAAATAAGACCACGTATCATGAGGTTGTCTGAGCCAAAGGTCAGAGAAAGGGAAAATGAACACATGAAGCCGAGGTTTGATTGGTTTGAACCCGATCACTAACATCTTTGAACACCTTCAGCATCACCGCGGCGAACACCAACTGTTTTATGTCACAGGTGTCGCGGGCTGACGCCAATTTTGCAGCGTTTTTCAAGGTTCTTTGAGGCGAGGTCAGATTTTCATCCCAAATCTAATAACATTCATGAACCAGAATGAACACGTTTGTGATTTCATACAGTAACTGGGTCCGTACCTCGTTGGCCCACGTATACATTATTGGCAGGACAAACAGTAACAATAAATGTTACAACAACATCAATATAATATTAATAGAGCAATACGTACACAGTACTAGTAGTATTTCCTATGCATAACCATATGTCACACTGAAGCTGCTTTACATACACATACACAGTCACTCTCTTCCTTCATCGCGAGGGCCAGTGAAGTGGCCGACATCGCGGTACTTCCTGCCAAAAAGTCCCAGAGCCTCGTACCTTCAAATCTAAAAAATCTAGTTAAATTGTATAAACTTATCTCTCAATCAAGATACGTCAATGATAAGGTCGTTAATTATGGCCGTGTATTAGGGTTAGAAAAGTACAGTGTGTTATTGCATTACAGTCGTGTCCAATGTTGTAATACAGATTTACATTATTGACCAAAATGTTGTTATGGTACGAAAAATGTTTTTTTCAATTACTGGCAAAGGATTTTTTTATTGCATTTGTGGTTTTTATTAGACTTGAAATCGGATTTTCTTTTTTTTTTCAGTACTGTTGGTCGAACCTGCTCGGCCCAACCTTCTCGTTTCTATCTGTAAGATGAACAAAAACACATGAATTCTCCACTTATCAAATTTACATCAAATTTCCGCCCGTAACTCACCTGATACATCAGTGGTTTGTAACGTAGCCCGAAAAGTATATTGTTAAAACAAGCTTAACAAAACATGAGTCCAGTGGGTGTCCAGCGGGGGGCGTCTGTAGAAGACAGGATATATTCTGCTAAATATAGCAAAGTATTTTTTTCCAATTTTTTTTTCTTTTTTGTGTGGTTTTAATCTTCCTATTCTTTCAGCCCAGGCTTTGTGAATAAATGTGAATGTAGCACTGATGCAGAGGCTCTAACTCAATATATTCTTTCTTCAAAACCTACGGGAACTTGGACTTTTAGGAGGACATTGCCGGCCCTGTCATCATTACATCATTTTTTTTTCCACACTAAAAAATTGTTTTCGATAAAGGATAATCAATGATCCGACGTAGAGTGTTGAAAATCAGTTGGTCGTCTCTCTGCTCCGACTTCGTCTCAGCACTGATGCAAACGAGCCCATCAGGAGTGACGGATGTTCTAAGTCAACCGTGTCTATCTGTTGAAAAGATGGAAATGCACAGTTCATTTTTCTAAACGACTTCAGGCCCGTTGGCTTGAATTCAAGTACATATGTCAGACGGACGGACCAGATGTCCCATCTTCCACCGCGCTAATTGAGAGTTGCTGGCACCGAATCCGACCCACAAGCAGACGTGGGGAGGTTCGAGACCTCTCAGTCAACTGCGTCCACTTAGCCTGATGAGTCCAAATGACTCTAACATTCCACGCTGCCACAATTTGGCCAATAGATGTCAGTTTAGCGTCACAGCTCGGCCAATTGGCTACTTACCCGAGCTCTGACCCGGGGATAATGATGATGTACAGTTTAACATTTCATTCAATCTCCAAGTGCAGTTTTACAGTAAGGTTTTCGAAGATGATATCTTGATCTACATCTGGAAATGAGCGCTGACGTTTTACTTAGTAGCCAAGTGATCAAAGATGTCAGAGGGATCAGAACCCAAATCAGGAAACATGGATGTATATGCGATGTATATCCCGTTGGATTTTAGGATCAGCAGGTCGACGCGCCTGGACTTGGCATGAAAATAAACAGCATTATCAGTGGTTTTAAAGAGAATAATGACAATGGTTATATTTCTCATTTGGTTCCGTTAAGGTCTGCCTTATGTGTAGAGGGGAAACCAGCTCCACTTTGAACTACAGCCTTAATAAGGAACAGAAATTCCCTGGTTGGGAAAGTAACCTTAAAAAATATAATCACGATCCTCAGGATGTGAGGTTAAATGAACAATATATTCCAGTTCACAGATTGCTAGGTTGGATTATGGGCTGGGACCTGAAATGGGTCGCAGGCCCTCCTCCAGTGGGTCTCCACATGACAAGAACCCTCGTATGATTTAATGGCACTGTATCCCAAGGAAAAAAAAAGTCATTTTGGTCCCAGGCTGAAAAGTTTTAGGAACCTTTGGGGCTTTTTTTTTTTTTTTTCTTCCTTCATCGAAAATACTCGCTGTAGAGTCAGAAAAGAGGTGGGCTTTGAGCTCGAACCTGCAACCGCAAATGACTTCAAAAGGATCACGGCACACTAATAGGTCAAAGCCTGATGTAATCTTAACCAGGAACAGGCTGGACTAAACGAGTGAAGAGAAACAGATGGACGGCGCTAGATTAACTGTGACTGACCACAAACAGAGAGGGAGAGAGAGGGTGAGAGAGGGCACATTTAGAAAGTTTGAAGGGTGAGGTAGGAAAGAGCGAGGGGGAGGGAGGGATAAGGGGGCAAAGTCACGATGAGGTAAGGAAGGAACGCACAGAGAAAAAGGTAGAAAAGTGTTGGATTTCCCAGAGAAATGGAGGAAAAGTGTGATGGGAAGCCAGAGACAAATGCATGACAGCGCATCCAACCTTACAGCGGGTTAGGGTATCCTTCCACTGACCGCAGCCTTCAGGCCAGATGAAGTGTGACCGTCTGGTGGTCAGACTGGACCTGAAGATTTTCCGCTGTTGCAAAACACTTCCTGCCTGCTGTTTTCATGTAATGTGACCGCTCACAGTTCGCTCCCCTGCCATACTTTAACTTGTACAATATGTTATTTCTGTGTTATTCCTTATGCCCACAGATTAGACTCTTGGCTCGGCGGGCCCTCCAGCCTTGGACGGACTCCACATAAGCAAATAACCATTTGACTGTCCAACATGTGTTTGTCTTCAAACTGAGTGGTGCTCTCCGCGGGGGGAAGTCTGGGCAGGAATGACGATGATCAGAGCCGCAATCATATCTGACAAGGTGATATGTTGTCCCTGCGCTGTGTTTTAGGAACTGGACATGATGACTTGATGAGAGCAGGAATTCTGCCAAAGAATCACTGGAACCAACGGGGAGTTGAACAAAAGACACGACGGGAAGAAGCACGGAGAGGAGGGAGTTCCTACCAAGACAAACTGTTCAATCTTATCAAGGAAAACACACCGCGTTGAGCCACTCACACACTTGACTTCCTTATATAGGCCAAACCAAACACTTAATGAATTTTCAAAACTCCTAAATCTTCAAAACTTACTGCAGATCTATTAAATCTAGAGCGGCTTTGCTCATTCTTCTCCCATTCACAAACTCAGCTGCAGCTCGGATTTCTCTCCCCTGTCTGCCAGAGACCTGTCTGTGGCTGCTGTGGTATTCCACGCTGGATGAGTCATGTCTGGTGGTTATTATGGGCAGGCGGTTGACAAACACCCTCCTCTCCAGACTCTCACTCCGTCTAGTGGTGGCAGACAAAATTACATCTGTTTTTCAGGGCTGTTTTTCACCCAGCTGACTGAGATCAGTGTTTTATTTCATCAGCAAATAAAGAACATCCTGTTTGGAAAAGTGAGATTTCTTTTTTCAAACTCCTCTATCTTTTTTTTTTTTTTTTAATTTTAAGTCACTTCCAGCTTGTCTCTTCATCAGATGTAGTGCACTGTGTACCTTGGAAGAGTTGTTTTGCCCTTTTGATGCAACACTACGCATTTGGGATCTGGGGATTGGGTGGGATGGAACCCACAACCTTCTGTATGGGAGGTAGAATATTTGTTTTTGGTTTTTAATTGAATAAAAAAATATGATATAAATATGAAAAAAGAATGAGTGTAAATTGATATTCAGTGAAGCTGTCAGTTTTTCTTAGAGTCAAGTGTGAACAAATATAATCTGACAAGATTTTCTTCAACCATATCAGAATATTCCCAGCCTGCCTGCACGCACTGCGAGTCTTTGCCTGTAAATATTTCAATTTTATCGTCAAAAGCCTTTTCCCCCAGACTTCTGGCAACGTGCCCTTTGAAGCAGCGTACGCCAAAGTGTCACAGACCGTATGAAAAAGATGGACATCCTGTTTGAGTTTCACCTTTGAAACCACCCAGCAGAATATATTTGGGTGGCTGGCCAGCAGGGACTGACTCCAAAAAAAACCTCTGGCTCCCGTAGACAACGGTTGAAGAAAACACCAGGTTCTCTCATGGAATAGAAAGTCAGTTCATTTCTATCATGTGTCATCCTGGTTCCACTCCTTATCACTGGTCCTAGTCTGTTTAGAAACAGAGGCGTGGAAACACAGATCAGGTCTGAACACAGAGACGTTGTCACACTTGTTGTCGGTGGACGTGTCCTCTCCTCTCGGTTACAAGTTTATCTTCCACTCACCATGGTGGTTTTAAAAACACCGGTTGCCGGGCAGTTATGGTTTGGCACTGGTTGTGTTTGCAGTCATGCGTAAAACTCATCGCCTCCTTCTGAAAGCCTAATTAGCTATCATTAGACTCCAGCCCAGTGACACCCTGCACTCTTCCTGATACCCCCTGGGGGGTATTTGTGTAATGCTACGTTGTACGTACTTCACCTTCTTTACTTTATTTTTTTAGATACTTTAAATAATGTCTGATGTCTTCTCCGAGGAGGAGTGCCAGGTCTGGTTTGGTCCTCCGTGTACAGAGTAAAACAACATTACATCACTGTGTTTTTATTTCTAGCTTTAAA